TGCTCTACTTGATCCCAACTGGGCCGCTGCCATGCAAGAATAATATAATGCTTTACTTCAAAACAACACCTGGCAACTTGTTCCTCGTCCTCCCAATACAAATATTGTTTCTGGCAAATGGATTTTTCGCCAAAAGTTCCACTCCGATGGGAGCCTCTCATGATATAAAGCCAGGTGGGTTTGTCGTGGCTTTTCTCAGCAACAAGGAATTGATTATGAAGAAACCTTTTCTCCTGTTGTTAAACCTAGCACCATTCGCACCGTTCTTAGTGTTGTTGTCTCCTTTTCCTGGCCTATTCACCAACTTGATGTTAAAAATGCTTTCCTCCATGGTTCCCTTCAAGAAACTGTCTACTGCCAGCAACCTCTGGGTTTTGAAAATCCATCCTTTCCAACTCATGTATGTCTTCTTCAGAAATCTCTCTACGGTCTTAAACAGGCCCCACGAGCTTGGTTACAATGCTTCTCTTCCTTCATCCAAACAATAGGCTTCACTCCATCTCTCTCCGACACCTCTCTTTTTGTGTATCATCAAACTTCTGACACTGCCTATTTACTTCTTTATGTAGATGATATCACTCTTACCGCATCCTCTCAAAAGTTCTTAGATCGTATTGTCTCTCTTCTTAGGTCTGAATTTTCTATGACTGACCTAGGACTCCTTCAGCATTTCTTAGGCATTGCTGTCGTTCGAGATTCCTCCAGCCTTTTTCTTTCCCAACGCTAGTATATTCTTCTTCTTAACCGTGCTGGTATGCTTGACTGTCAATCATCTCGCACTCCTGTCGATACTAGTTTTAAACTTTCGGCTACCAGTGAACCCTTTTCCGATCGTACTCTCTATCGTAGCCTAACAGGTGCTCTCCAATATCTCACCATTACTCGTCCTGAAATCTCTTTTGCTGTTCAACAAGAATGTCTCTATATGCATGATCCCCGGGTTCCTCACTATAATCATGTTAAACGCATTCTTCGGTATCTAAAAGGAACTCTCAATCATCGTCTCCACCTCAATAATTCTTCTCCAAACCCGTTTACCACATACTCTGATGCAGACTGGGCTGGTTGTCCTAACACTCGAAGGTCCACTTCCGTTTTTTGTCCTAACAATTTGATTTCTTGGTCTTCGAAAAGACAGGTTACAGTCTCACGTTCGTTGGCCGAGGCTGAGTATCGTGCTGTGGCACATGCCGTTGCAGATACAATATGGATTCGACAGTTACTCTCCGAGCTACACAGGCCTATTGAGCAGGCCACTATTGTCTATTGTGACAACATATCAGCAGTCTACATGACCGGCAATCCAGTTCAACACCGACGCACAAAGCATATTGAGATTGATATTCATTTTCTTCGTGAAAAGGTTGCTCTTGGTCAGGTTCAGGTGCTTCATGTTCCCTCTACGGCTCAGTTTGCTGACATTTTCACCAAGGCACTGCCTACTAAGCCGTTTCAAGATATATGTTTCAGTCTCACCGTCGTCGAGCCTGCCGTTGATACTGCGGGGGGATGTTAGAGTAGTCCTTATGGTATACGACTTCTAGTCCAAGTCAGTTTTGTACCCCTACCCCAAGTCGGTTTGTACCCTCTTATATACTCTTGTATGCCGCACCAAATCAATCAATAAGCAACAGTTTTATTCAGCTTTCAAGAAGTTCCTGTGAACCCTAATTTATTTCTTGAGAAAGCAAATTTATTTATCCTTGCTCTGTTTTTTGTGTACTATAAGATTGTTCGTTTGTACCCAGCATGTGTACGTGATGTGCCCTGCCGCTGTGTGTGCTTCCTGCTAATGTGTGTGTGTGCTTCCTGCTAATGTACGTTTGACCATGCGTTCCTGGCTTCCCCGGCGATGCCAACATGGCAGGGCAGGACCCAGTGGCCATCTTCGGCGCCTTCATGGACTTCGTCAGCGCCGACCTCTGCTTCATCATCTACGGCCATGACCCCTTTGCCGTCGGCATCATCTGGTACCTTGGAATGCAAATTAAATATGTTCATGGAGTGGGGTGTAATTGTGATTTGTTCAATGGCTGTCATTCGCGTTCAGCAGGGGCTGCAAGTTCTATTGCTATAAGCCTGACTTGTAGCGGCAACAACAGATTCAGATGTGGTAAGCTCATTCATTCATTCATTCTCTCGGGAGAAGAGGACCAAATTGATTCAAATTTTGTGTTCTGATCTTCATGTTGCGAGGTTTGCGATCGCATGTATGGTCGGGACTGCGTGGGTCCGGCGACCAATTGCTTGCATCTCTTGCTGTATGGTGATGATGACCGGCTCCTGTTAAATCCAATACGACTGCACTTCTTCGCTTCAGGTGGCCGTGAAGCTCTGACTCCATCCTCACGACACTCAAACCTATCTTGATGATTGCATCAAATTGCAACTCTATTATCTTTTCATACCATGATATGTGTGCATGTCTCTTCGGTTCTCAAACAAGAAATACTTTTCTTTTAGTTTGCTTTGTAGGTAACATGCAGTGTACAGTTGGTAGCAGATTACGATGCAAGTTTGTTTGTTTTCACTCCAAGCATGACTTTTATGATACATGATGCTACTCTGGGGCTGCTCCTCACTACCAGTCACAGCAAGATGGGGCCCCTGGTGGTCCTCTGAAATTTGATTCCCTCAATCGTCAAGGATCGTTTTGCTTTGAAGTCTGATGTACATTTTTTTAATCTCATGTAGGAAGAAGGTATCCCCCTTATGCGAAGATTTCTAGCTTGCCTATGTGTTGTAATGTTAATAAGTGCATTCGGCCAAACAATTTGTGGACCAAATGAACTTGTTGCGGATATAGAAGAACAAGGCGGCACACAAGGAGCTGCCTGAATTGCAGTGGCAGCGGTGTTGTAATATGTGAGAGTTTTGCATCAACTTGGTCTCTTTTCTATGCATAAGTCTGATGCATTGGCCCTTGATTATCAGGAATCAAGCTTGTGAAGAACAATTTCGTTACTTTAATGACACACACTTGCAGTAAGTCATTCAAAGATATATTCAGTACATGCTAGGTTGCCAAGCTCAGAGCCACCTGTTGTCTCCATAAATTCGCTGAAAGCAAAAACCATTTGCCCATAGTCATGTGAAACCTTCTAGAATTCTTTTTAGTATTTTGTATTGCTTGTGCATTTCTTTTTTTATCACTTCTAATAACCTCATTATTCATTTTTCCTATCGTCATGTCAGTCCTTGCTCTAATTTTTTTGTTAATATGTTGTGCTTCTTGTGCATTTCCATTTTTATCACTTCTAATAATCTCATTGACTGTTTACATCTCATCGTGTTTACCAAGAACACGAGTGATAATTTGTTTTACAAGAATACAATAGTGACAAATTTATTTTATTTTATTTTCTGACATAGTTCTCAATTAGGCTTACAAATATTTTACATTGGGAGTAGTTCTGTCATCAAGGTTATGTGTAATGTATTCCTTAGAATGGTGTGTCAGCCATTTCTATGTAGGTGGCATGTGTGATGGCATGTGTTTCAACCATATCGATTTAGGTGGCATGTGTGCTGGCACAAGAAAAGGAAGGCCCTGAACTGAAAGGAGCAACATATATTAATGAATTGCCTTGAATTGAGAGAGAGAGAGAGAGAGAGAGAGAGAGAGAGAGAGAGAGAGAGTTCAATTCTGGTCACTTGATTTCCTGCCCCAACTCCTCTAATAATCATTGATGCGTGTTTGTTCGCTCTAATCCACTGAATGAAACCATCTGTCTGGTTTAAACATAATCAACCATCTGTCTGGTTTAAATATTTATGAGTAATTTAATTTGTTTATGCCTATAAACCGATTATAATCTAAACTATGCCAGTACAACAAGTGTGCATTGTAATATGTACTCCCTACGTTCCTAAATATAAGTCTTTTTAGAGATTCCAATGCAGACTACATACTGAGCAAAATGAGTGAATCTATACTCTAAAATATGTCTATATACATCCGTATGTAGTTCTTATCGAGATCTCTTAAAAGACTTATATTTAGGAACAGAGGGAGTACAGTTTAGTAAACTCATTGCTGTACAATGCCCACCTACTTGGAAATTGAACTTTGCCTCCTTTCCAAAATACATTAATATTCATGGAGTTTCCTGGGAGTGACAACTTTACGGTGCTTCTTTGCCAGGCTTACAGTATTTCAGGCCTCTATTCCAGCACACACATTCCAGTTGCCATTGGTGAGCAAATGAGATATGAAGTTACTAGTGATTTTCATTATACGTGGTAAAAATAATGCAAATCATGCTTTATGGAGTGTTGAAATACTGACTATTGATCGGAGAAAATTTATTGGTGACAACTACCCAAGGTGCGTGTAAGCATCTGAAGTTATAGTTTAGATTATCATATTGGCTACTCTTTTAGAAGTAAAAACAATAGCATTATTTCACTTCTACTTTAGATTTTTGGGCATCCTTGTACTATTATCATCTGAGATTTGCATAATTATTTTGAGAATAGGGAGAACTGCAACAATGGTTGCCAACTACCATAGTCAATATATACACCTCTGAAATTGCAGGAATAATAAACATGACCACCATCAGACATGTCTGTTTTAGTTTCTCTAATCTCCAACAAATCTTAAGACCATAAATGGGAGGCAAATTCACCTTCATATGAGTACGCACATGCCCACATTCACCTTTATAAGAACAATCAGCTTCTAAATAAGGCCCCCCATGTGGGGCATCATCAATACATGCCTCCATGAACGATGGATATACTAAATATATTTCACTTTGGTATTTTGGTACGTCTAAAAGTAGTGCCTTTTTCTAGCATATGAAAATTTATAGGACAGGTTTTGATAATCCATGTACAAAAAGGCAACCTTTTTAACAAAATGAGAGATTATGCTTATACTTCAGTATGCATCATGTACATATATAATGTTACAGATAATTCCATTGCGTGTGAATGAATAGAACATTGAGAATAGCGCCAGAAATTCCTTTTGCTGATATCACAAATTTTGTGCCATGGTCCATAAAGAGAACAAGTGCTGGTGTGTGTTCCGATCCAGTAAATTTTCTTCATGTGCCACACAAGTGGAGACGACTCTGCTTTTTTACCATGATCTTGAGAGGTACAGCTTTATCTATGTTCTATATGTTCATAGACATGCTAAACCCAATAAAGATGCAACTAATATAACATCTTATATTGTCTTTCAGTTATGAGCTTTATGACAATAATGACTCTCAAGTTCAGCAAGAGCTCGTACAAAAGATATGGAAAGTGTTTGAGACTATACTAGAAGAGGTAATTACTTCTCTCAGTTCGTAGTGCCTTCTTTTGCTAATACCTCTTGGGTTTTGATTTCTTGTAACATTTATATGCACACAGACTGGAAAATTAAGGGAATAAACCAAGGAAGGTATTTCTATATCTAAGTCCACTGTAATCATTTTGGATTGAAATTCACGTTTGGCAAAAGGTCTTGATATATGCCTTGGTCACAGGTCTAAATGTTATAAGCATGGCTCCCCACATCCAATTTTTCAGGCCATGGAGCTTCTATGGTTGGTTCATATGTGGTTATCGAAGCAGGATAAGTTCTTGAGAAGGACTCTAATTGCTATGGACCACAAGATTTCAGATGTCGCTCCCTATTGCGTATTGCTGTTGACATTGGACTTGCTATCCAGTAAGAGGGACATTGGGATCATTGTTCATCTAGAGAAGTCAGTGCCAAATCTACGTCAGAATATTGGGATGTTAATGATTGGAGGTGATGTTTTTCTCTCCCATACCTAAATTATCTTTAGTATAAGTCCGTATAAAGAAAACTGCAGTGTTCCAACTATTGAACCACAGTTGTTAAATTAATTAATTTTAGCTATGTTATAGTTTGAGCTGAGTGCTTCTTACCATTTTTACTTCTACTAGATTCATTTGTCACCGAGTTTTTAGAGAAGACATCACTTTTCTGTCTGAGAGTCGATTTTTTGTGCGTTAGATGGATTGACAAGTACCAAATATTAATGCCAAGCAGAACTAAAACCTGTCCATGGATTACCTTCAGTCCCGCATTCCAATCAACAACATTGGGCCGAGCGAGCACGCGGGTGGTGCAAGAGGCAATGGGCAGCCGGTGAAGACTGAGTGGTGAGCGGCGGTGGCGAGGTCGAGCGGTTGGCACCAGCGGCGAGTAGGCAATTACCGTGACGGGCGAGCGGACGGGGCGAGTAGGTGTCACGATTGCATCACAATTGGAATAAAGTAAACAATGCATACGTGTGGCCATTGACTGATTTTGTATGTTGTGTGCTTGTGTTAAGAGCCAGCCAAATCAATCAGCCAAGGGCCATTATGTACGTGAGTGTATTAGCAATGGGTATATCCGAAGATTATTTCTCAAGTCGGCATGTGGGTAGAGACTAAAAAGACGATGCCATGGTAGCATGGCAGACCTGGCAAGTGCCACGAACATCATGATATTCTTCTTTTTCTTAATTCCTTGATTTGAAAAATAATTTGCAATGTGTGTGTAGGAACATAGCAGTCGGGCAAACGCCACTTTGGCATTTGATCTATCAAGGGAAATAATTTCTTTACTTTAGAAATTGTGGGTTCGGATTGGTGAATTATGGTTGGCTGATCGAAATAATTTTTCTATTTAAAAAATATAGCAAATAGCATTTCATTAGAGATTGGTCTGTTGAGTTATGGCTGGCTCATCGGAATAATTTTTCTATTTAAAAAATGTAGCAAATAGCATTTTCATTAGAGATGGTTTTGCAGCAAATTACAAATCGCGCAAACCAAGCCATCACCGCCTCATCGCTCTTGCTGGGAGCGACAACAACCGCCGGTCTCTTCTTCGCCTTCTTAGCCGGCATCTCCCCCATACGGATGCCCCGCGTCACGAACCACTCCGCCACCGCCTGGGACTCGACCTCCGGAAAGTTTAGGTCCGTCTTCGGCCGTCCGGCACGCCACACCGCCACGTCGTAGGCACGACCTCATCGGCAGTGGGCTACGTGCCGAGCCACGAACGCTGCTCGGCGTCGGAGAACTCCAGTCCGAAGTTCCCGGAGGGCTTCGCCCTCATGCCGAAGAAACCGGACTTGCCCTTCGGCGTCTTCTTCGGTGCCATCGGGGAGCGGGCGACGGCCGAGCGGGGAGCGGGGCGGCGACATGCGGAGTGGGGCGGAGGCGGACGGAGCGGGGCGACGGTGTGCGGCGCGGGACGGAGGCAGACGGAGCGGGCGGCGGACGGAGCAGCGCCAGAGAGGAGGCGGACGGAGCGGGGTCAGGCGAAGGATGGACCAGAGGCGGAGATGGCCGGAGAGGAGGCGGGCAGGGTCGGGGCAGGCGAAGGCGAACGCGATGGGGCAGCGCGGTGGCAGGCGGTGGCCAAGGCGGGGTGGAATCAGTGGCGGGTCTGGATCTACGATAGAGCGAGGCATTAGAAAGTTAACATGTAACTCTTGTAAATTATTTCAGGAGTCCGTGGCAATGCACGGGCACTCTACTAGTATAGAATAGATAGATAGATAGATAGATATATAGAGGTATAAATAGATAGATAGATAGATAGATATACAAGTGCCTCCAATGTCCGGTGACGGTAACCCACAGGCTAGACGAGAGTGGTCACAACGAGATATCTCTACTTCTAATGGAGCAGTTGGTAGTCTCCGCTGGTCAATTTTCGTCCCACCATTTTTTTCCGGTTTTTTCGTAGGTTAACCTTCGTAGATTTTTTTTTCGCACCACCCCTCCCGCAAAAACTAGTACAACGCCCCCACCTCTCGATCCCGATGCGACCTCTCTCTTTCCCCCATCTCCCGTGCCGCCGTCGCCCTCATCTCCCGCTCCGCTGCCGCCCCTGCTGCTCCGCCGGCCCGACCTCTTTATCGGGCACGGCTGCAGGAGCATCTCCACCTCTCCACTCCCTCACGCAACAGCACTCCAACCCCCCACCCCCACGCTCGGCTACCGCTAGGGTTTCTTACCCTCGCTGCCCCGCCATGATAGCTTGAGAGTGCAGTCGGCGGCGGCGGCGAAGGCGGCTCCTCAGAGCAGGGACGCGTCTCCCGTCGAAATCCAAGTCCGTTCGTGTGAGCTTCTCCTCCCCTCGATCCGATCTTCACCTTCGCTCATGGTGGCCGTCAGCTGCCCTCCCGCTGGCGGCCAGCTTGACCTGCACGGCACTCGGTTGCCCGCATGGCCCACCTCCTCCCCATCGCGGCACTCTGCACGGCACTTGTTGGCCGCCGTTGGGCTTGCTTGCGGCGCACAGATCGGGTCGCGCGCGATGGCTACATCATCGCCGGATCTGTCCTTTCGTCCGACAGCTACCCCAACCCCAGCGCCTTCCTCCACCGCCCGCTTCCCCCACTCCCGCTTGACTCCACGGGCCGGTGGCGACGCTCTGCCCGGAGATCCGCGGATCTGCGTCTGCCAGCCGCATTTGGCCCTCCGTCCACTGTGCTCTGCCGGCCCTGGCTCGCGCCGGGGTGGCCCTTGGCTCGTCACCAGGCTCCTGTGTGGCTTGCTCTCGCACGCCTAGATGCACCATTGTCGGGTTCCCTGTTGCCCCTCTGATATGATAAATGCATCCACCCCTCGCATCCATTGGCTTGGGTACCTGATGGATTTGGTCTGGTCCGCCTACAGAGATGTTGGTTCCGTTGTTTGCACATGTATCCTGATGCCGGTTTCTCACCATGGCTGTCAAGTACCGCCTCGTGAAGGAGTGGAGAAGACAACGTGCTCTGGTTCTCCTCCAGGTCAGCCGACAACTTGTCGATTTGTTGCTCTTCCCTTACAAGGCATGACATCCCCTTCCTGTGTGCTCATGCAAACATACAGTTCTTGATGTTGAAAGTTGTCTACGATTTGCCTATTTCTCTTCGGAAATTGATTATATTAGTTCAATTACGTAAATATCTTCCTTGACAAGATTAGATTAATTTCCCCACTCTGTGATTTGGATTGATTTCTTGAATTTAGCCAAACACCTTTGCTTGTGCTCCTAATTTCCCATCACTCTTTTTGTCACAGCATGGTCAAAACAATGGTGCCTTCACCCTTGCTCGTGCCTCAACCCACATGGTCATCTTTGAGACGTGGTATTCAGTCACATGACAGAGTTCTCTTTGTAAGTGATTAGATGATTTGGAACTCGCTCACTTGATGCATGTTCTGGAAGCTGCATCCACCACTCATTCTTGATGTCACTCGTGTGGGACTCTGTCATTTACTGATTTGAGTATATGTTGTGGGTTGATGTGTTGCAGATCCTTGAGGTCAGGTGCGGCAACTAGCGACATGTGCTGGAGCTTCTGGCGGCGACATCACCTGCATCGACCTCTCCCTCGTCGCCTTCGAGAGTGTGTGCGGCTCCATCAAGCTTGTTATGACGCACTTTGAATTTCTGAGCAAGTCGCAGCCTTTTCAGATTCATCAACACAGGTTACATCAGTAGTCAATATGGTTCAGATGCATAATAGTACGTACTTCATTTCCTTTTTGTTGTTTACGGTGTCCTACAACATGGATCATATATATCGGTTATCTTTCAGGTTCAGTTTGCTGTGGCGAATTCTTCTTGAATTTGTTGCAGCAAACTTGTGGTCATGTATGGTTTTTAGTTTTGTAAGCCTGCATAGTTTAGAAGTTAGAAAGCTCGTTCATGTATTGTTCTAAACTGAAAGTTTAAGTGGCTTTTCCACCCATGGTATTGTGGTGGTCATAATAGCACACCTCGCAATTATTGATGGCCAGATCTACAAGCCCTGAGCGATGTGTTTTTTAGCCCCCTCTGTTTCTCCTGGGCATCAATCTATGCACAACAAGCTCTTCAGTGCTTGATGACAAATAAAGGTTGCATCTTAGATAGTTGCTTGATTTGAATGAGCCATTTTGCTGTCAGCTAAAAGTCAGATGTAAGATTATGTTTCTTGGCACATGAGTTATTTTTCAGTCAACGCGTGGCGAGTCCACTTCGAACTGATATATGCACTTTTTATTTGAAACTGAACCACCATGGTTTAATTTTATTTTCATTTGGACAAGTTACCCCAAGTATCATCAGTTCATGATGACTGGTTTGGTGTAGTGAATTGATCCTGGTGCTGATTTAAGAGTTTTTTATGACACTGCCTTGTAAGGGAGTAAGGTCTGGTATCTATATGGCTATTATTTTATCTCTTACAGATTGCCATATATGACATGCTAATTGTTTTTAGCTCTTGATATAGTTAAACTTTTTTTTCCGAAACGAAGGCAAAAGATTTGCCTCATCCATTAAGTGGGAGGAGAATAGAGTTAAACTTTGGATGCACCAGTGCCTGATGCATATGTTTGTTTACTTGGTTTGAACTCTGAATGATATGTTGTTATCCTGATTGCATGCCTGATGAGTTGGTTCTGCTGGTATTTTGAGGAGGCAAGCTGTGGTTTTACTCCTGGCCCTGAGAAGGGTGAACTAGGCCATAGCGAGGGCGCCTTCAGGAACATCGAGTCAGGGTGCCTCACTTTCTATTTCAATCTGCGAGGTAATGAAGGCAAAAAAAAGTTTCTACTCGCCCTGTTCTTGCAACTAAACAGAGAAAAACTGTGTGGTTACTGAAGCATTATGGTTTGTAGTTACCGAAGCATTGCATTTGTTGAGAAAGTGTTCCTTATACCATGTAAGTAGGGACAATTACTATTTAACTAGGTACAATTAATATTTAACAAGCCACAATTGATCAAGCAGTCAATGCTTAAATATGCCCGTACTCTGTCGTATCCAGGATGGAGCTTTGCTAGCTTTTGAGTTGGATTCTCTTTCGACTACACCTAAATATGACAAACCAACAGTAAATGAGCTCATTTTAAAAAACTGCAGTTTAAAGGAAATTATTACAATATACTTGCTAGACCTTCTCATTACACTCTTTCACTTTTTTGGCCTAACACTATCCTGTATAGACCTAATAACAGAAGACATGGGAAATGCTTTCGTAACATAATGTCTTTTTGTTAGATGCTCTGTTTATTTAGTGTCGTTGATCCAAAAACTTGAAAGTGTAGAAATGTAAATGCATGGGACTATAGAACCAAGTATTTCTCGATTTGGTGATGCTTTATTCAGAGTTCTTGTGCATCAGATTGGAGTGTTACCACAAACCTGTTATTTATTTCACTTCATGTGAGTTAATGCCAAGGCCTTTTTTGTGTCCCCTCTAATCATTGCATTTCTATCTTGATCATTGTATTAACGAAAAGCAAAATATTTCTCATGTTTTGCTCAGTGTGTCTACTTCTCTTCTTTATTATATTAACTATTTTTGGATGATATTTCACAAGAATGACATTGTTAGATTT